TGTAGGCAAGTAGGCCCCAGGGTTTTTTGAAGGCTTTAAGCCTGTTTTGTGAATTGCTTCTGGGATGTATTGAGCCCATGGACGTCACTAGGATTGAGATATGGGGGGGCTTAGCCCCAGGAGGTTGACCTTGAACATTTTTTTCACACCCTGCAAAAACTTTGTCAATTAATTCATTACATGAAGAACATTTAACAAAACCTACTTTTTTACCACTTTCTTTTCCTTTCCTACCTTTGTGCATTTTCTCTCTTCTTTTTATAAAAAAACACTTCATCAGTTCATTAGTGGGGTCTATGTTGAAGAAAGATTTTATATAAGTCCATTAAAAATTAGATATGTTATATTTCCAAATAAAGCTATTCATTTCAGTCTACTGCACTTAACAGGGGGAAATGTTGCAGTCATTTGTTTAATTTGTTTAATTACAACTTGCTTGATTATAAATGTTACTGAAATATGACAAAGAACAAATGAATAATTGTCAAACTTTTATTCTGCCAAATGAGTGTGCAGTTGACAGTTTTAATATATGAATAACACTGATATGATATGGAATAAAGGAGTATGTAATTAACAATTACAAGACAAAATAACAGTATATATGAAAATTAGGCCTGGGACTTAATTAAAATTTTTAATCTAATTAATTAGAGGCTTTGTAATTAATTAATCTAAATTAATTGCATTTTAATTGTTCAGGAAAATGTACTCTCAAAGCAAAACTTAATTAAAATTATGAGACAGAGAATTAAACATTAGACATAGTTATTACTGTAAAACTAAAGCTTTTAATAAAAAATGCATTTTAATTAATCAAATGTCACTGTGTGATATGAAACAAGACCCAAATCAACTAAAATTTATAATTACAAATAGAAAACAAATGCAAAGGGTTCCTGAGCCTTTAAATAGTCTCTATCTAGTTGAATGACTGAAATAAATTTGACTTTGCACCAGATTATAATTTTTCCAGTTTTACTTGTTTGTATAATTGGGAGTTTTTATTAGCCTTTCTACTCATAATGTAGTAAAAACACATAAATATTAATCCTTCAAAATGACAGTAGAACAGGCACAAATATGATCTAGGACAGGGGTGTCAAACTCATTTTAGCTCAGGGGCCACATTGAGGGAAATCTAGTCCCAAGTTGGTTGGACCGGTAAATTAAAAACAACTTCAGATTGGTTTCTTTGTTTTAATACAGTCAATATAAAACAAAGTTGGAGCCTGAGGACAGTGTATCCAAAATAGTACAAGTACAACACCTGAAGTGTACTTGAAAATTTGAAAAGTAAATAAAAATAAAAAACATTCCTTAGCGATTCAAAGAGCTTACAGATCACATGGCTAGATCAGTTTCATGCAGCACTTAAAGTATATTTGACTCATTTTACTTTACATCGTTTAGCTTTCACCAGCACATCAACATCAGAAGTCACATCCTGAGTGGCGGCCAACTTCAGGATGTGATTCAAGTTCTTGTGTGAGCCTTGAGCGCAGCTTTGTTTTATTTATACTCATTACAGAGAAAACTTGCTCACAAAGATAAGTTTATTTTCACTCTACATTGTAAAGTATGAAAATAAAGTTTACACAACCATCTCGCGGGCCACATGTTTGACACCCCTGACTAGGACTTAAATGTAATAACTTTTAACACCAGAGCAGGCATGACATATTCTGAGAATGATCAGAAACACCAACTGGTTCCAGCTGGATGACTGGAGGATGATGGGATGATAAAAGATCATGGCGAGGAAATAATGATGTGACGAACAGGTGAGCGGACCTTCCTTACATGGGAAGTCCTGATGTCACGTTAAGAAGGGGATACTGCAGACCCGCAGATTCACGCCTGCAGCAGAGAATCTGGTGTGATCTCCAGCCTGATCACCACTTCCTCGTTCCTCGCTGCCCCTGATGCACTTAAGCATCCGCCCCTTAGCTGATGACAGCTTCAACACACCTCGCTGCTTAATGATAGTAATGCATGTGATGTTTAGACAGAGACTCGTCTCAGAAACGTATAACTCCCCGACAGCATTGTTTAGAAAATCATCAGAAAAGTTTTAGAGTGTTTCTGTTTTAACTTAAACTTCTGTGTTCAACTTTAACTTTCACGTTGTTTGTGATTGTTTACAGAGTAGTGAGAACACGGAGCGTTCTCCCAGCGGCAGCCTCTCGTTTGTCTTACTTTCATAAACTACTGTTAGGGCACAGAATTATTCTGTCTGGGGCTTTCAGCGCTGCACAGATGTTACGTAAATGTTAAAAATATAGCTTACCGCAACTTTTGTAAAGTTTCCAGTGCCACCGGGCAGCCGAAGAAGAGACGATCTCTGAAAAATGTCCGCGACACGGACTCCGTTGTTGCCTGGAAGTTTTTTTTTTCAAGTTAAGAAAAGAGGCGGACGTGTTTCCTAAATCCTGCATCAGTCCAAGCAAGGCAACTATTCCGTTTTAGTAGCCATTAGCACTGTGCATTGTTGTGTGCGTCAGTGATATTCTGTCTACGAGGAAGTCGTGCAATGACAAAGGTTCCGTCGTGCTCGAAATGCAAGCTGCGATTAAATGCGTGAAATTTTTTTAGCGTGTCGTTTTTTTTTCTAATTAATCAAAATAACGCGTTAAGGTCCCAGCCCTAAAAAACTCAAAGATAGGGGGGCTTGTGATTATTTTAGGGGGGCTGAAGCCCCCCTAAAACGGACCTAACGACGTCAGCGGTTGAGCCCTTTTGCTCTAGTCTTTTGAGCTGGTGTTTTTTGTTTACAACTACCTTGAAGTAATCTTTCAGTAGTGTTGGCACCAGGTTATGTTGTGTGTTACTGATAGTACGGTTGTGAGTGTGTTTGCCCACACACACGCAAAACACAATCGAATTTATTTTTAGTTTTTATACTGACACCTGTTGTTTAGTGGGTTTTGATTTTCTGTTAATCTCTGTCAGAGATTTGACTAGACTCCAGTCCTTGTTTTCCCTCCTTTTCCTTTATTTTGGGTCTGTGTCTAGTTATTTATGTTAGTAATTCTTGTCCCTGCCTGTTGTGTGTTTTTTTTTATTTATTTTTTAAAGGAATAAAATATTTTTGGTTGCCACTAACCTGCTCCTCTTTTACTATTTAATATATCTTTTATGTTCTGGGTCAGAACCAGGATTCCCTAGTCCAGGCCAGGTCAGTGTCCTTTAAACAGGACCCTAACAATGGGTAAATGACTGATTGTGTTGTGAAGTGCTTTGGGTGGGTTGTAGAACCCTAAGAATGCGCTATACAAATACAGACCATTTACCATCAACAAAATCCTAACACCATAAAGCTGAAGCTCGGCATTTAAAGAATTGACTTGGTGTTTGCTATATTTATGTTTTATGTTTGCTATGGTTGTGGCAACCATCTTGATTTAGGTGGTTTTGAAAAAGTTGTAGAAGTAATTGACTAATGTATTTCTTTAAAGTGATGATATGTATTTTCCCTGGTGATAGTTGGCAGTACATACCAAATCATTGCAAACAAGTGGTGTTTATGTATTCAAGTAAAACTGTCATGGTCTGTGTCTGCATCTTTCCCCATGTGTCTCCTGATGTCCTCCATCCATCTCTAAATTCCCCTTTTGTGTCTTATAGCGCCCTCTTGTGTCCTTTGTCTGCTTCTCATTTATGTGTCTTCTGTTTGTAGCCCTTCAGGTCATCCCCAGCCCCTCCAGTTGTAGCTCCAGCCGTTTTGTCCCCAGCTCCCTCCTGGTTTTCTTCATGTTCTCTTGGTCTCCCCACCATATTTCTATAGGTCTATTATTTCAGTTTTGTCTATGTCCTTCTCAGCTAGGTGTGTGTGTGTGTGTGTGTGTGTGTGTGTGTGTGTGTGTGTGTGTGTGTGTGTGTGTGTGTGTGTGTGTGTGTGTGTGTGTGTGTGTGTGTGTGTGTGTGTTTGTGTGTCCTTCCCCAGTCAGGTCCGGTGCCCTCCCCTGCTCCTTCCTGCTCCTCCTCCCTGATTAGTTATTGCCTTCACCTGGTTCTCTCCCCACACACCTGCAGCTCATCTGCCTCCCATTATGCCCCAGTCTATAAAGCCCTGTCTGTTTCTCATTGTCTTGTCGGTCCATTGTTGTTTGTCAGTGTTGTTTTGGTGCTCTGTGTGAGCTTCCTGTCCCGTCCCCAGTTTGTGCTCTAGGTGAGCTCTGTTCTCATGTTCTGGATTTTTGGATTTTGGCTCCCTGCCTTTTTGGACTTATTTTTGTTCATCCTACAATAAAGGACTTTTTCTTTATATCAACTCCTGCCTCGTGTCATCCTGGGTAACTGCATTTTGGGTCCAAATCATCCTCTCAACGTGACAAAAACCTTATCAACGGATGGCTGTTAGGGTCAAAAGTCCCTGGGAGTGCAACCTTTAGCAAAATAACAAGCACATCAGATTTCATTTCATCAATGGCAACAAGTGAAGAGGTAAATGTGTAATACAACTTTTATGAAAGGTTAAAGTTTTTAAATTATTTGTTACAACTCACTAAATGTGTTTTATCCTCACGAGCTCCCGTAGAGAGAAACATGGCTTCTAATAAGGCACCGCCCAGAGATTAGACCTGCTCCCATGACCTTCAGACCCGATTTTTATGGTTATTTGTTAATCAATCAATCAAAGATACTTTATTAATCCCAGAGGGAAATTAGAGTTTCAGTACACACAATTCAGAGATCAGACATACATGGGCAAGACACATGACACGAATTGGTGACGGTGGTCATTCTCAACCCTGAGTCACGCTACCTTAATAGAGATAAGAGGGTAACATGAGGAATTGATTCGGGAGGAGGGGGAAAAGGCACTTCAGAGCTACCCTCCCACTAGCAGGACAGCTTTGCTCTGCAAAAAAAACACCTCACAGATATGCAATAGACTTGGGAAGTTACAAAGCTGCCAATATTTTTCAACAACTCAGCATCATTCAATTCAGATTTTACTGTCAGATTTTGATTTTCATACAAAATGTGCTGCTTACCTCTACTGGAGCATAATGGTCGTAAATCAAATACCAAGGCCGAGGCCTTGACGGCTGTCGAACTATGTAGTAATCTGGAGGATAAGGATGAAAGGTTTGCCTCCCGTGTTCATCTCTGGAATCTGCTGGCTCCACCTTCATCGTCTCCAAACATTTACCCAGAGCCATGTCTTCTATAGAGGAGAAGTGTGTGCATTCTCCAGTACTGAACCCTTTGACAAACCTCCTCAGGGCCTCTTTACTCAGAACATAGCCTGCTCCTCCACTCATGTAACCTTGCCTGATGAAAGGCATGAACCTTCTGCCCAGGTAAAAGGGCTTTTCTGGGTCGTGTCTGGATAAAATGTGGTGTAGATTCTCCAAGACCACAAATGTATCATCATCTGCTTTTAGGAACCAGTCTGCTTCGTCCAGGTGATGTTGATGGATGTACTGCAGGGCTCTGATGGTCTTCCAGTATAGGTTGTCTCTTCCTTCACTCACATTCAACTCCACTGTGGGAAAATCAGTCTTCACAGAGCTCATGAACAGCACTTTGTCACAGCGCTTGGCCCACGTCTCCTTAACGTGCTTGGTTCTGGTTTCAAGGTTTTTGGGTCCAGTCATAATCCAACATAAAATCCGGGTATCATTTCCTGTTTTGTTGTCTCTCTCACCTGTTGGATGCAAAACAGTTTTTAAGTTGGAACGCTTCATCGTCCGTACAGAACCAGCTCACTGTCTGTCGGATCTAAAATAAACAGCATCAAATGAGTCAAATTCAGAATGTCTTCCAGCTGTGATGATGAGGAAAGTATGACCTCGTCCTTGATCTCAGGGCCTTCTCAATCAATAAAGCAGACCCCCGTAAATTATCCCATGTGGCAGGGAGTTGTTTATCAGTAAGCATTCAGATTTGTCTGCCTGGACCAGCTTGCTGGCTCACTGGGACATTATGGCTTTTCTGTTGGAAGGTCAAAGATAAGCTATAACACCCAAGGTTTGCTAGCAAAGAACATCTTCTGCAATCAGAGCACATTAATACTTTATATTTTTCATTTTACAGTGGGGCAACAAAGTATTTAGTCAGCCACCATGTCTGCAAGTTCTTCCACTTAAAAAGAGGAGAGAGGCCTGTAATTTTCATCATAGGCAGACCTCAACTAAGAGAAAAGTCCAGAAAATCACGCTGTCTGATTTTTGAAGAATTTATTTGCAAATTATGGTGGAAAAGAAGTATTTGGTAAATAACGAAAGTCCACCTCAATACTTTGTTATGTACCCTTTGTTGGCAATGACAGAGGTCCAATGTTTTCTGTAAGTCTTCACAAGGTTTTCACACACTGTTGCGGGTATTTTGGCCCAATCTTCCATGGAGATTATAGAGCAGTGATATTTTGGGGATGTCACTGGGCAACAGGGACTTTCAACTCCGTCTAATGATTTTCTATTGTGTTGAGATCTGAAGACTGGCTGGGCCACTCCAGGACCCACAGGAGTGAGATCTTGCATGGAGCTCCTATCAAAGGAGCTTATCAGTGGTCTTGTATGTTTTCCACTTTCTAATCGTTCCCACAATTGATTTCTTCACACCAAGCTGCTTTCCTATTGCAGATGCAGTCTTCCCTGCCTGGTGCAGGTCTAACATTGTTTATGGTGTCCTTTGACAGCTCTTTGGGCTTGGCCATAGTGGAGTTTGGAGTGTGACTGTTCGGGGATATGGACAAGTGTCTTTTACACTGTTAACAAGCTCCAACGGGTGCCATTAATACAGGTAATGAATCGAGGACAGAGGAGCCTCTTTGTCTGTGAGAACCAGAAATATTAGTTGTTTGTAGACCAAATACTTCTTTTCCACTGTAGCTTGCAAATAAATTCTTTAAAAATTGGTCAGTGTGATTTTCTGGATTTTTTTTTCTCATGTTGTCTTTAATAGTTCAGATGTAGCTCTGATGAACATTACAGGCCTCTCATCTTTTTAAGTGGGAGAACTTGCACAATTGGTGGCTGGTTAAATACTTTTTGCCCCACAGTGAATGACGGAGATGGAGAATTGGATTTGGTCTCAGGGATTATTTGAAATCCATTTCCTTATTTGTCTTTGTTGAATTAAGATCTGTGCCGTTCTGACGTTCCTCACAGACTTTAGGACCTCATTTAAGGTCATTAAATAATTACTCGATACCTACTCTAGTAAATGACGTCACTGCACTGTTGCTCATTGTGTGTTTAAGAACAACGAAGCACAGATAAAATCTACAGCTCTAACCACGCAAAGACATGGACCTGCATCTCATTCACAAGGAACCATTACCCTAACGTGTTGCCTTTGAGTAACATCTAAGATTTCAAATAATCATAACTAAACAATGTTTTCCTTTTTCTACCAGGAAACAAAGCATTCAAGACTCCCTCACAGCCTTCCAGAGTAACCGGCTTAGCTAGTTTGCTTCTACTTTAAATACAGAAAATATTGCTGTGACAAGCTATTAATATCAAGTAGCTTTTCTTTTAGTCACTGTTAGCGTGTGAATGTGTGTGGGTGGATGACTGTGGTGTTGTAAAGCTTCTTGGGGGGTTGAGGACTCTAGACAACACTAAATAAAATAAGATATTTACCATATAAAACATAAACTTTATGAAGCATTTATTTTACCAACACCTCATAGAAAAATCAGATGAGCCCCACCAAACTAAATGATGGTGAAGAGATGCCCTATCTAAGGTCCCAGAGTGCTTTTATTTATTTGTGAATAATATGTTTTATGGTTTAGAGTGTGAAAGTCAACCAACCGCGATCGTACCCTCCTATAGCCAGATTTGTGTAACATTCTGGGATGCAGAACACACAAATGTCCAGAGCGAGTAGCTCATCAGGGTCTCAGCTAATTATTAAAACGACTTTAGATGGGGAGCCTCTTTATTTATCCGAGCTATCCCTCTTTTACAGGAATAGGAATTAGCGTGTGAGCTAAAACTTTTGTTCAAAAGCATTACATTTATATTGAAATGTCACTTTAAATGTTTAATTGATGCTCAGATGTGATACTAAGCATTTATTCCTAGCATTATTGTTATTTGACGATAAATAAAGCAGTTTATTTTTAAATGTTTCATTTCAGCATCCTAAACCGAAGCAGCTGATGTTTGAGTTTCATCTGTACATCTGGACCGGTGACTGCCTACCTGCAGGTGGATCCTGATGACCAGTGCCAGGCTTGATCCCCTGCACTGAATTGTTGACCTTTTCCACTGAGACCATTGAACTGAAGAGCAGGTGAAGTGAGAGAAATCCAGTCACCATCCCCATGGTGAAAATCCAAGTGGACATATTCCTCACTTTTCTCATGTTTCCCTGTCAAACCAACACATTTTCATCTTTATGTTACAATTGAAGTGAAAGTAAAAATATTAGAAAAATCAAGTTAAAAAAGATCAAATAGATACTTTTCAAAATAAAATGTTTGTATGTGTGAAAACAAATGAAGAAAATAGAAAAGAATTTACTGTCTTCTGAAATGAGCTCCGTCTAGCACACACACACACAATGCCAACTCACACAGAGTTTGTAAAAAATCAAATTCAGCTCAGGTGGAGCAAAACACATGGTGCCGTCACCAACATGCAAATAGGAGAACAAATAAAAAAGAGAAGAGGGGAGGGGGAGGCACCTGGGAGGTGTCACGCTGGAGGCAGGTGTGGATTCCTCCAGTTGTCAGAGAAACACGTTTTTCAGTCTTGTTGACATTTACCTGGAACAGCGTGGTGTGTCTGACCCAACAATAAAAATTCCTCAGAGCTTTGCTCATCCCCCTTCTGCACCACAAACACCAGCATAACTGGAACATCGACATAACCTTACTGATAAAAGACAAAATGTCAAAATGAATAAATACAATTAATAATATTAATTTTCTTCTTTTCTTTTTTTAACGAAAGACTTTGAAAAGTTTTGGGTGTCTAGAGAATTTTATTCGGGCAAAGTGATCTACAACCTTGATATGGTTTTGTAAAAATGTATTCTGGCTCTTCACTTTACTTTTCATCCATTGACTTTTATTAAAAACTGTTTGGAAAAACATTGCAAAGCTGTTTTTCCAACATTTGGACAGTAGGGCACAGTGCATCACCTTGAGTTAGCTCCAGGCTGGCTGTCTCGCACACCTTTGCACACACTCGCCTGAGTTTTCATCCTTTAAAATGTATTTGTTATCAGAAACTTTCACAAGGACCTCTGACGGATATCGGAATGCATCTGCTGCCCCAAGTTACAGCATCAACTTCCTACTCATCTAAACTGAGATTCAATGTCTTTGTATAAATTCTGAAGGAATTCTGACTTCATTCATTTACAGTTTTTTTTCCCAGTTGCTAACAAGCTCTCACCCAAACGTCAGATACTTGTTCTAAACCCTTAACACAGATTCACTCCTACAAAACACGATTGGCCAAATGGAAAATTTTCTTCTCCAAAACACATTTTGATAAACATAAACTATCTCTTAATTTCAAAATAGAACATTTCTTTCTCTGCACACGCTACCTTTATGAACTGTATGTCCACATATGATGTGCACGTTTCAAAGCATTCCAGTAAAAAGCTAATCCTTTTTTGCCTTTACGGTTTATTACAGGAGGTGCAGCAGAAATAATGTTTACAGTATGACAGAACAGAAAAATTTCTACAGTATTGCTTGTAGTGAACAAAATATCAATGAAACAAACAAGAGCATTCTGAACAAAAAAAAAAAAACAGCACAAAGCCCAGACAAAAAGGAGGCAACTACAAAACGCACTCAATTACCGTAGCTTATCTCTGCGATCTTCAAGGTTAGGCCACGTGTTTTCATCAACATTGCATCTGATATCATCCAAAGCGATGCACCTGATAAAACCACTTGCTATGTCGGATCCACCCTTGGCTATCATCAACCATGATGTCCCTGCAGCCAGCATCCATAGCTTCCAGGAGGGACATGTGGTCATGTGGCTGATGGACATGAACCTTCCACCTCCATGCAGACAAGAACTCCTCTATGGGGTTGAGAAAAGGACATACACTATACCTGGACACATAGTCGATGTAGCTCCATGACTCTGTCACTGTTCCTCTCAAAAGGAACAGAGCTGCTGTGTTTGGACAATGTCCGTGTAATGGTTGTGAAGCTGATGCAATAAATATTGTAAAAAATATCTCATGGTCCTCCACTATTTCAGTCTGAATTTCATGCAGTTTTACTGCATTATTTGCATCAACCATTTCCACAATCAGGGCCGGCTCTGGGTAATTTGGTGCCCAAGGCGAGAGTGCCCATCCCCCCCACCCCCCCCCACCACCACCTGCACGCCTCTCACCCAAACTCAAGTCCACCCACCCACCACACATTGGAAAAAGTAACTCCACAGTGATTCCTTAGTTACAAATTTTTTATTTTAAATATTCACACAGCAACTCTTTAAAGTCAACAGCCTGAAGAATAAATGTAAGCTTGAAAGATAAGTAACCTGGGAATATTACAATAACTATCAACTCAAAATGTTGTGCAAATGTCATTGGGGGGTGTCACGAACGTGCGTGCCTGGTGAGTGGAGCGGTGATCAGATGAGGATCCAAATGCGGGGAGGAACAAGGCAAACAGGTGAGTCCGTTTAACAAAGGTTTATTAGAAACACACGCTGGACACTGAAACAATGACACGACATGGAACACAGAACAGAAGGGGTTTAAATACACGAGGAGAGGGAGCTATGGTGATTGGGAAACAAGAGGCAGGTGGGAGCAATTAACGGAGACACTGACGACAACCTAAGAGAAAACAGGACAGGGCAGGACAGGGCGTGACAGTACCCCCCCCCCCCCCCCCCCCCCAAAGGGCGGATCCCAGACGCCCACAGGAACAAGGAGCAGGGCGGGAGGAGGGGGACCCGGAGGGAGTGCCCAGAGGAACCGAGGGACCACAGGAGAGGCAGCAGGGACCAGCAGGGATCAGCAAAGTCAGGAGGCCTGCGCCTGGGGCAGATGAGGAGGCTACAGTCCCTTGGAGGCCGGCGCCTGGGGCATATGAGGAGGCGACAGTCCCTTGGAGGCCGGCGCCTGGGGCAGATGAGGAGACGAGGATGGGCCCTTGGGGGCCTGTGTCTGGGGCAGAAGAGGAGGCGACGGTCCCTGGGAGGCCTGCGCCTGGGGCAGACGAGGAGACGGGGACAGACCCTTGGGGGCCTGCGCCTGGGGCAGATGAGGAGGCGACGGGCCCTGGGAGGGCGGCGCCTGCGGTAGAGGAGCCCTGCAGGCTGGGCCGGGGACACAGGCAGGACCAGTGACAAAGTCCCTGCAGGCTGGACCGGAGCGACCTTCAGAAACACCACTGGAACCGGACACGAAGGAGACGTCAGACCAGAGGCGACGTCATCGGACGAGCCGACTTCAGGAGTGGAGGCGACGTCATCGGACGAGCCGACTTCAGGAGTGGAGGCGACGTCATCGGACGAGCCGACTTCAGGAGTGGAGGCGACGTCATCGGACGAGCCGACTTCAGGAGTGGAGGCGACGTCATCGGACGAGCCGACTTCAGGAGTGGAGGCGACGTCATCGGACGAGCCGACTTCAGGAGTGGAGGCGACGTCATCGGACGGGCCGACTTCAGGAGTGGAGGCGACGTCATCGGACGGGCCGACTTCAGGAGTGGAGGCGACGTCATCGGACGGGCCGACTTCAGGAGTGGAGGCGACGTCATCGGACGGGCCGACTTCAGGAGTGGAGGCGACGTCATCGGACGGGCCGACTTCAGGAGTGGAGGCGACGTCATCGGACGGGCCGACTTCAGGAGTGGAGGCGACGTCATCAGACGGGCCGACTTCAGGAGTGGAGGCGACGTCATCAGACGGGCCGACTTCAGGAGTGGAGGCGACGTCATCAGACGGGCCGACTTCAGGAGTGGAGGCGACGTCATCAGACGGGCCGACTTCAGGAGTGGAGGCGACGTCATCAGACGGGCCGACTTCAGGAGTGGAGGCGACGTCATCAGACGGGCCGACTTCAGGAGTGGAGGCGACGTCATCAGACGGGCCGACTTCAGGAGTGGAGGCGACGTCATCAGACGGGCCGACTTCAGGAGTGGAGGCGACGTCATCAGACGGGCCGACTTCAGGAGTGGAGGCGACGTCATCAGACGGGCCGACTTCAGGAGTGGAGGCGACGTCATCAGACGGGCCGACTTCAGGAGTGGAGGCGACGTCATCAGACGGGCCGACTTCAGGAGTGGAGGCGACGTCATCAGACGGGCCGACTTCAGGAGTGGAGGCGACGTCATCAGACGGGCCGACTTCAGGAGTGGAGGCGACGTCATCAGACGGGCCGACTTCAGGAGTGGAGGCGACGTCATCAGACGGGCCGACTTCAGGAGTGGAGGCGACGTCATCAGACGAGCCGACTTCAGGAGTGGAGGCGACGTCATCAGACGAGCCGACTTCAGGAGTGGAGGCGACGTCATCAGACGAGCCAACTTCAGGAGTGGAGGCGACGTCATCAGACGAGCCAACTTCAGGAGTGGAGGCGACGTCATCAGACGAGCCAACTTCAGGAGTGGAGGCGACGTCATCAGACGAGCCAACTTCAGGCGAGGCGACGACCCTTGGATTGGAGGCGTCGACCCTTGGATTGGAGGCGTCGACCCTTGGATTGGAGGCGTCGACCCTTGGATTGGAGGCGTCGACCCTTGGATTGGAGGCGTCGACCCTTGGATTGGAGGCGTCGACCCTTGGATTGGAGGCGTCGACCCTTGGATTGGAGGCGTCGACCCTTGGATTGGAGGCGGTGTTGACTTTCATCAGCTTCTGGTCCTCTGGCTTCTGGACCACCGGTCCCCGAACCGCCGACTTCTGGGCCCGCGCGGTCTGCTTCTGGACCCGCACCGTCTGCCTCTGGACCCCCGCTGGACCAGGCATTGAGTGAACGGGTGGTGCTGGAGACAGGGAGCGCAGAACGTCCATTAGGAGCTTATTTTAACTGGAGAGCTGTTGGATCTGGACCAGCTCTGCCCGGAGACTGGCAAGCTCAGTCGGCTGGGTTGCGGGCGTTGCTCCACCTCCTGCAGATGACGGAGAAGCCGATCAGACCGGAGGCGGGACAGCTGGTCCGACTGGGGGCGGGTCCATGCTGCTGCGTCCAGCCGAAGCAGCAAGCAGATTCTCCAGCTCGAGCCTCTCGAGAACGAGGGTCTGGCACATCTGGACCAACTCAGCTCGGAGATTGGCGACGTCCGTCAGCTGAACTGCGGGCACAGCTCCTCCACCTGCAGACGCCGATTCGGCCGGAGACGGGACCGCTGGTCTGACCGGGGGCGTGTCCGAACCGGCGCGCCGAGCACTGCCAGCGGTGGGCTCGCAGCTCCGTCCTGAAACACAGGGCTGCGGTGGATTCCAGCGTCTCTCCCCACGCCGTGGACCGACCCCGGGGGAGCAGAAAGCCAGCCTCGTGCCCTCGAAGCTGGAGCGATCCCGGAGCGTCTCTCCCTCCAACCTCCCGTCCGGTTCCGGAAGGGCGGTGAGGAACGCCGAGGCAGAAGGTCGGGGACGCCGTCTGCGGCGAGGCGGAGCTGGAGCTGGGGAAGGAGAAGCCGGTCGATAGTCGGCGGAGAGGAACTGGAACAAATACTTCCATGGGAGGATCTCCCCGCTGGACCCTTCAGGGGGTCGTGTCATTCTGTCACGAACGTGCGTGCCTGGTGAGTGGAGCGGTGATCAGATGAGGATCCAAACGCGGGGAGG